TGTCACCATTTTCTCCCTCAAAAATTTATCCTTCTCCCTATCTGGGGCAATGTTTAAAGGTTTTATTTTGTTCTGTCATTCAATAATTTTGAGTCAGACTTCCTAAGTGGAAAAAAAATTAGGAAAATCTGTAAGTTTGTTTTTTGGTGGATTTTTAATTATCTGTCACATTTTTGGTCAGTTATTCATGTTACAGAGGTATCAATGGTGTTGTTACCCTGGGGAATTCCCTGTTTTCCACGGGACCAGGCTAAATTTATAGGACACAGATGTCAGACAAAAACCTCCACCTTATTATTTTTACATTTAATGCAGTGAGAGATCTTATTTGCCTTCCCACCTCCTCCCATGTTGCTTTTCCAGGTCAGATTTGTGCTTTATACTGCACCCATTTTGCTCAGCTCAGTACACTGAAAGTAACCAGGATAAAAAGAAGTTTGAGCTTTTGATGGGAATCAGGGATCAAAACAATCAATTCCAAAGCCAGTACTTATGCAGGTTTTAGCAGCCTGTGCACTACAGTAAAATTCTGAAGCAGTTTTACCTGTCCTGACACACATCCACTCACAGGACTGAAGCCAACTGAGCATGACCAGGATTAAAATAGGCTCACTCTTGGAATTTGTCTTGTCAGTCACCAGAGGGATTTTTTAGTGTCAGGCTTTCATCAGCAGAGCTTCAGAAATCCCCTTTGTAGCTTATTTTATTTACAAAGACGCTTCAAAGGGTTGTCATAGAACAGGAAGATTTTTTTTCCCAGATGAATTTTCAGAGATAGCAAGCTGAGGAAGAAGGGCACAGTTTAGTTTTGGACTGCAAACAGATGTTTGCTTATAAATATTTTTACTGTTATACAAATTCAACATGTATTTTAGAGATGAGGACCTGCTCCTGTGTGAGATTTCCCCTGATAGCAATCTATGGCCCTGGTCCTGCTTATTAAATTAGTAGGAATTTTAACATCTACTTCCATGGAAGAGGTCTTAGGAGTGCCAGCATTGCTAGGAATACACACAGCACAGTAGGTACAGCTGGGGAAAGAAGAGGATTTACTCTCTTCCACAATGAGTCACATAATTTTATAACTTAGAACAACTTCATCACTCTTAAGACATTTGTATAGCACCAATCACCAAGAGCATTGTCACTAAGGCACTGGACTGGTACTCAGCTGTCACGGGCTCTGCCTCCAGGTCTGGGGTCAATCTCCTGTGTTTGTCTTTTGTTTTTACTGGCACATAACTTCTGACATTGGAAAAGAAGATAAATAATACAAAACATCCTCCATCATTTACAGGAACAACACACCATGACACATTACAAGGTGCTCAAGTTCTGAAGCCATGAACATGAATAGATCTGTGCATAGATTTACTGGCAGGAGGAAATTAGCCTGCAGGTATCAATTCTGTGCAGCACAGTGGAGCAGTGTTAGCTTCCCTTCCTCTGGAGTTAGGCCATACCCTCAGTTAAATCCTGCCCTGATGCCATGAACCAAAACACTTCTAGATAAATGAAAAGCCCTCAGGACTCCTGCCTATGACAGCTGATCCAGGATGCCTTCCTAGGCTTTTGCATCAAAGTCTGCTCCTATCAACTTGCAGACCTCCAGTTTCAGCCTCTGAGAGCAGTTTTTGATGATTTCAGAGGCAGCTGAATCCTTTTCTAGTCTGCAGTGGATTTATCTCTCCACATTACTAAAAAAAGAAAAAAATCTTTAGGAGTTATCCCTGCAGGAGTTAACTCTGCTGCACCACACTGAATGTGTGCTCTGATGCACAAATTACTAAAAGCTCTTGGGTTGAAATAAGTTACTGCAAATGCACAGTAGCTGATTTTGAAACCACAACATCTCTACAATTTATTATTATTTTTACAAAATACCCAAAGTGATCAGACCATATTGTAGGTTACTGGCTTGCCGAAGGTTGTTTTAAAATCAAAACCATTTCTGAGTTACAGAAGTGCCAAAAACAATCTTGAACCAGGTTTGTTTGTTGTTTTTTGTTGTTTTCTTTTTAAACCAACCCCCATCCAACAAAACAGTTGTATAACTTAAAACAGAAACAAGAGTTTGTGTTGGAAACTGTTGAAAAACCAACCCACCAAAATCACGCTTGAGCAGAAGCCTTGTATGGCAAAGATTCAGCTTAGGGCAGTTTAGTGCCAACCCTCCATAGGTTTACAATGGAAATACTGACACAACCTCAACTACAGTGATGCAAATGTGCCCTAAAAACACTGTATTTGCTTTTATTAATAAAAGTGGTAGTGTTTACATTTGCAGGTATCTTACACTTCAGCATCACGATGAATACTGAGTAGAATGAGTTAAGTTTTGGCTGTAAGGTCAGAAGTTTCCAAACAGATGAATGAGACAGAAGTGACAGTCCTCAATCATGAAAACAAGAAGTTCAAATAAATAAATAAAACAAAACTAAGAAATATGGGTAAGCATTAGGTTGGAATGGTTCAATTAACTGCAAATTATGGCCACTAAATTAGAGACAGAAGAAAACACAGTTACTTATTAAATAGCAAGCATTAAAGCTTTATGGTTTTGTATTTAAAAAAAAAAAAAAGGAAAAAGAAAGCTGTTAAAAATAAGACTTGCATTTACCAGGCCACCAAACTGCATGGACTAATAAAGAGACTAACAAAGGCAATACTGAGACATTAAGACACACACACGCTCCGTACTTGTGCAACTCAACCATATTCAAAACAATTGCCTTTTTCCTCACATAAGAAAAAAAAAAAAAAAAGCATCCCCTAAACATATCTGTTCATATAAAGCTTTAGGTTTCTTAAACTGTTGCTGTCTTATATAGCTCATTGTTATTATGTGTCTCCTCATCAGAGGAAGAAGCTTATTTTGTTATTATTTTTAATGGAGGTGCTTTGTTTCTCTCAGACAAGAGATTACATTCCTCACACCACTACAAGTTTTCTCCATTTACAAATTTGGTGTTCACACCAACTCCTCCTAGGCTTAAAAAGATAAGGGTTGGCACTAAAATAAAGATTTTGGCTCCTGTAACTAAAATTAAGGCTCACAATGAATTTCCTTTCCACTACGTGTGTCCCGTTTTTACCTAGTGGAAACGCCAGCCCTTCACCTACAGGCACTGGATACATTCTGCATTGGAGGGGCCTATTTTCAGTCGTGTTTTCTACAGTTCTACAAAGTTCAGGTGGCAACTGTCTAAACCTGTGAACAGGAAAGATCATTCTTGAAAGGCGAGTAACAACTGCAGCTAAATTTTTTCAACTATTCAGTGTTTTCTGGAAGTAATTCTGAATTGAGATGGGACAGTGACTCCCTCACATCCCTGCTCTCCAGTGAAAATGGACTGTGTGATTCATTTTAAGACTTCAGCCACAAAAGCAAATGGAAAGTCACAATTCTGAACAGTTGCAGTTCTTAGTATTGAAAAGGCATCCGATACCTGAAGCAAATCTAGCTGCACAGACATCACTGACCACGCCCTCACTTGAATTTAAACTGGATCTCTTCCCAAACAAAGAAAGCCAACACGGTCTCTTGGGTGGAGGGAAGCTAGTGTGAAAGGCAAAGAGGCAAGAATTTTGGTGTTTGTTTTTGTTTCTTTTCCTTTTAAAGTCACTGCAGTTAAGATCCAGATCAGTTTAGGGGTGTAAATGAAGGGGGAACAGGGGTGTTTGAGTAATATAGGCTAACACTGTTCTAGATGTGTTATTACAGCTGTAATTTCTGACTCTGTACAAATTGTACACGTAGGTTTAGACACATGAAAAAGTAACACACTCACAGAGACATAAAACACCTAGGTATAAAATATAAAGCAGTGTAGTAGTTACTAAAATTACATGCTCTCTTATTGCTACAGTGATTTTTGCTCTTTTTTCTTTTTACTGTACCACATGTTGTTCTAAGCATATAATTTGCATAAATTATTCAAGTTTAAGAAAAAAATCCACACATCTTCACTTTTAAGCTACTTATATAGTTAATATAAAACAAAAAAAGGTTCTAAAGTATCTCTTTATTAAAAGAGAAATAAAAATGTCATTTGAAACTGGAATTCAGTGGCCAAATCCAAGGGCAGTGCACACCTTGTCATTCCGGTAGTCGTTGCCCACGCAGCGCAAGCCGAGGTTGGTGGGTATTTGGCCCAGTCTAGAGATGGTCACCAGACCTGCATGATGCCCTACGTGTCTGTTATTGTTCTGGTTTTTTTTTTTTTTTAATTTTTTTTTTTTGTCTTTAGCAAAAAAAAGGACAATGAATGACCAAAGTCTAACATTCATAATTTGTAGCAAAATTTGGTTTTATGTATAAACAAGACACGATTTGCATTTGGATAGAGATTTAAATGAATTAAAGCTAAAAATTAAAAAGCACGATGCTGCAACATCTGGTCACTTGTTGAAGACCTCACTTATTTTCAATAAAGTTGTACAAAATAATACATTTTACAGTCTGTACAAGAATAATAATCCAGCAGTAAAATAAAAAATGAGGGAAGGGAAGAAGAAAAAGAAGGGAAAGACTGTGAGGACTACAGTCTAGATAATGATTTTTAGAGCAGACGGGATCATCAGTGGACAAACTGAAAACAGTGTGTGGTTAACTCTTTCTGCAATCACAGGCCATACGCAGTTCAATTCATAAATGTCCATGGTTGTCTTTAGACCACCAAGACTGGTTTTAAAAATACCCTTCTGAAAGGTAGCAGTTGGTTTTTGCACTGTCTAGGTCTGTTGGAGAATTGTCAGTATTTCCGCCCAAAGCCACATTACAGTCAGAGAACCAAACTCAAGGGTCTGTCTTCAAACTTGGTCTGTGACTTGGCACCTTCGTTACTCGGATGCAGTGAGTGATACAAAGTGGAGATCACGGGTTATAGGATTATGCCCACAGCAGTGCTAAATTACCTAAAGTTTTCTCTCCCCCAATTTTTGTTTCAACGTTTTAATTTTTTCATCCCAAATTCTTTCAGGTGCTCCACATTCAGGGCTTTTAATTAATTAGGTTTTATTTCTTTTTGTTTGTTTTGGTTTGGGTTTTTTTTTCTCTCTTTTTTTGTTAATAACAGTGTTAGGGAATCCTCATGGAAATGGCCTTTTAAGTGTTAGGGGCCATCTCAAACTGTCCGAGGGGTACAGAAGCAAGCTTAGAAGTGCTGCTATTGTCCAGCAAGGAGAAAAAGTTGAGGGGTGCAAATCAATGGGAGATTCAAACAGTTCTCTTCCACCCTATGTGGGCAAGGGTGTTTTTTTCTTTTTTTTAATAAGGAATAAGGAGTCCAAAACACAGAAAAAAGTGCTCTCCATCACAACAACTCGTATTGGCGAAGGTGCATGCGCTGAATAATGTCCCGACAGTCATTGAAAACCCTCCGGATGTTCTCTGTGTCCACGGCACACGTGAAGTGAGGGTAGCAGTAGTGCCTTCCATCTCCACTTGCTGTGCTGATTCTCTGTGCAGAGCAAGAGAGAGACACTGGGTTAAAAACAAAACCCACTGGGGGAACCCCAACCCGTCCCCAAAGCTGGGCTGGATGAAGGCGAGGCGCGCACGTGTGAGCTGGGCCTTCAAAAAGCGCAACTGAGTGGCAAAATGCAGAGTTTTCACCTGAAACATTAAACTCAAAATGATCAGAATTACATGGTGAGGTGGTCACTGCAAGCTGGGGAATTTCAGACAGGAATGAGAACTCAGCTTTGGTGGATTTAGCAACACAACTCCTAGTCCATTTGGCCATGAAAAAAGCAGGATTTTGTCTCCCTGTAAAAAGCTTTTATCCCTGCTTTACACTTACAGAAAGCCTTCCTCAACTTTTTGTTTTGTTCCATTTTAAAATGAGTCCACAATGTGATTGCCAGGCTCACCATTACAAATAATTGTAACAATATTAAAACAAAAAAAAAAAAATCTGCGTCCATTATAGCTTCAGCTGACCAGTAATGGGAAAGATAATAAGAAAAGAACATTAATATCTGACAAAGGAGGCATCTTTATTAGTCTCTATCTTTAGAAATAATGCATGGAATAACAATATGGCCACATTAATAACAGCAGGACTTCAATCATCATTCTATTTGGGGTTTTTTAATTCTCACCAATTCTTTTACTATTTAATTATGTACAAACAAATGTCCAAAAAGCAGCTATGAAACAAGTAGTAAAGCTCATAAATATAACAGTGGTTGATGCAATGTGGATGTTAAATATAAACAACACAAGAAGTGACAGCACTTTGCAATAGCAGAAGGTGAGCAAGAGCTTGGGTTTGAGAAGAATCACAAAAGAAATAGGCAAAGAAAGGAAATACTTACAAGAAACTCGTCTCTAATAAAATACTTGGCCCTTGTAACTCTGGGATCCTCACCAGGCTCTGGTGTTGCTAATTAATAATAAAAGAAGCATCTTATTAAAGCAGGTATTTTCTGTTAAAGCACCTAAAAATCTCAACTTGTTCTGGTTTCTGCTCCCATATGACAGAAATCCACTTGGCAAAACTGACTGTGAGACAAAACAAACCATGACATTATTTAAACCAGCAGGATTTCAGGAGAACAAGGGAATATTAGAATGGCCACAGTACCAGGCATTTGGCAGGTAAGAGAAATGTCCACAGGCAGGATTAGGAGGAGTCCTGAGGACACTTTTGTGACAAAATGTCAGACTGTGATCTACATTGAAGTAAAAGGATTTTGTCACGATGAAATTATTAATATATTAAACGTTTAAGAGGCAGGAATCTCTCATTATTAATACCTTAAATTCAGCATTACAATTTGGCTAAAAGACATTGATGATTACATCTTAAGAGTTTTCAGGTCTTAGCTACCAAAACCATCACAAATGTCATTAACAAGGAAATGATAAATTGCAAACAAAGCTTAAAAATCTTACCATCATCTGGTGTAGTGTAGCGAGCAAATTCTGGAAAGTAGTCTTCAATTTTAGATTTCCCTGCCAAAACTTTCTCTGCTAGCAAATCTTGTTTATTCAGGAAAAGGATTACTGAAATGGTCCGTAGCCACCTGTGCAAAATGGAAACCAAACACTGTTAGGAGGCACAACCCAGATCATACAGAAACTTAAAATAAAGTTAGTCACACAACATGTCTGGGGACAAGGCCATATGACACACTGGAATGATCTGGAAAGGTTCCTTTTATACCTGAATCCCAAAGGTGTAATTCCAGGTGTGCACACCCTGAGGGTGCTCCCCACTTTGTGCTGTTAATCCAAACCCATCCCAGGGCAGCATTTCCACCTCCCAGAGCACTGCTCCATCACTACTTTAATTACTTCAGCCTCAATATGGCAACCACCAATTAGCAGAGCTGTGCAGAGCTCTTTGCAATGATCTGAGATTAATAAACATTAGAGGTGGGAGGCTGTGACCAAAGAAGCAGCCCAGACTGTGCCAGGAGATGTGAATAACAGCGCTGTTAACCCTGGTGGGCAGCCAAGCACCACACAGCTCCTCACCCACCTTCCTCCTCAGGGGGTGGAGGAGGAGGGAAGGAAAAATGAAAGCAAAAAAATCTGGGGGTCAAGATAAAATACAAATGATTGTTTAATTAGTGAGGGATAAGTACAAGCCAGGAGAAGACAAAACAAGTGATGCAAAGGCAATCACTCACCACCTCCTGTGGGCAGACCAATACCCAGCAAGCTGGGTAACCTCCCAAAATCCCCTCTTTTCCCCCTTACTGCTGAGAATGATGTTATGTGGCATGGATCACACCTCTGGTCAGCTTGGATCTGCTCCCCTGTGTCCCCTCCCAACAGCCCTGAGGATTCACTGCAGGGACAGAGTGAGGAACAGAGAGGGTTCCACACACACTGCTCAGCAGCATGAGTGTGTTATCAGCATTGCTTTGGGCAAAACCCAAACCACGGCACTCTGAGCTGTTACAGAGAAAATGAACTTTGTCCCAGCCAGGCCCCTCCACGAGTGGTGACAGGAGCAGCAATCTCAGTGAGAAGAGCCTCTCACAGACCTGTTGTTCCAGATACTCTTGAAGAGGTTTAGTGCCTCCTGCAGCCGATTGGTCTGGTTGTCCTCTCGGATCACCATGTTGTAGCTACTGCTCGCCACCACAAATATGATAGCAGTCACATCTAAACCAAGAAATACCCTTCAGTTAATGCCAAGCTGCAGAAGAAATATCCAGGAATCATGAAGTTCAGTAAGAAGCTGCCAGACTTTCAGCTCCCTGCAGAGAACAGGCTGGGATGCTGCTGCTGACAGTTTTTTAAGTACCAGGAATCAAAAAAGAAAGTGAAGACACCATGGAAGACAGGCAAGGCAGGCCCCAGAACTGAAGCTGACAGAATGACAGAAAATGTAGGAAAGAAAGGAACTGGAGCAAGAGAGAGAAATTGAAGAAAGCCAAGAAGAGAATTTAAAGAAGATTTAAAATGTGTAAAGAAAACTTGAAACAACCATGAGCTACCAGGAAAAGACAGGGAGGTCCTTGGGGGAAAACCTCAGGATAAACAGCACTTTTGATTTGTGTAAAGAGTAGTAATAACAGCAGCAGACTGCAGTGAATTCATGGTTAATTGCTCTGGTCCCCCTGTATGTGTTTTACTGCTTGGAGCCCGATCTCCTCCCTGGGAGGCATTCCCAGGATCAGGATTCTTGTGCTGCTCCAGTTCCTCACTGACTGCCAGGCTCATCTACCTCGGGCACAGCAGCAGAACAGATGAGTCAGAGCATGAGGTAACAGGAAGAGGAAGGAGCAGAGGTAAAATCCAAACAAATCTGTTACTGACAGCACAGAAGAAAATACTGCCCAGTCCTTCCACACACACAGACAGTGTCCAGGTGATTCTGTGACAGGGACTGTAGCAATTTGCCATGAATTCCAAGATGCATTCTGCTTTATTTATTCTTTAGAATCTCACTGTAACTTTTCTACAAAAAGGTGGACTTTTTTGTGTAACTTCATTGCTGTCTTGTCCAAATAACAAAGAAGAGAAAATATTTTTACCAAGTCTAGGTTTATGAAAACCTGTGTGGAGAAAGGTTTCTAATCTAAACAGATACACAGTAAGACAAAGAGCTGCAGTGAAGGTACCTTCACACTTCAGGACAGACACAATCTGCCTAACTGCAGTCATGTGGGAATGAAACCTGGTCTGAATTCATGGGGACACTGGTGTGAAGAGACTCCAGCTCTCACCAGATGTGTCTAACCAGACAGATGCTCCCTACATCCTCATTCTGCATTACTGGGCCAGTGCTGGTTCAGAAAGCAGCACCACAACAGAGCCAAGTGGCTGCAATTATACACAAAAATGTGATAATCTGATTTTATGCATGTAATAATCATCCTGTGTTTTGTATTTACACAGGCACATCCATATGTAAACCTGCACGTGGAGGACAGAACATGGCTTGGAATTTCCAACTCTCAGAGCTGGCAAATAATGCACAAAGCCACCTCCAAAAAATACTTGATTAACTGAAGAGAGGGAAGCAAAAAAATGGACAAGCTGAAGTTATCAAAGTCACATTCTTCTCCACCTGCATTCTCCTTGAAGATGTTCTATGTAGTTACAGGAGCTTATGTGTCAAGAAAAAACTCAATCCTGTATGACTGTTAGATAACTCCTTAATGAGCTACATGGAAACATGATGGATTTCACACAGTTGAGAAAAGGAAGATTAGGCACTATAATTCTGCAGAGAACTTTTTATAAAGCCACCAGAAATTCTAATCCTACCATTAAAACACTGGATCCATTTTCGGCGTTCATCTCGTTGCCCTCCAACATCAAACATACTGAGAAAAAAAACATAAATCCAGTCAGAATCATTTTGTGCTAGGTTTTTTGTTTGTTTGCATGCAAACAGAAAAGGTAAGAAACTTTAAGACTTGTGTTACAGAAGTTAAAGGGAATTTTGGATTACAAGAACCTGAACATGTAAGCAGTCCATGAACATATGAATGCAGAGAAAATAGATTTAAAACATTTTGTTCTTTCTGATTTAAAATAAAGCACACCAATTTGCATTTCATTTTCAAGCCAGACTACTAAATTAGAAAACCATAAAATACTTGCTTTGTATTTAACACCAATACTTGTGAAATACAGCAGGCTCAGTGAATATATGGTAGGCTCTCCTCCCAGTTTACCTTGGTATTTGTCCGTGTTATATTAAAAATTGTAAAAACATGAAAAAGAAAGAATTATACTTACTGAAAATTTACTTTATCCACCTGAAACTTAGTTTCAAAAATTCCTGATGTCAAAACTCTGCATCTGAGAAGATCCTAAAGCATAAAGGGAAATGCATTAATTCAACACAGATACTTGGTGAGCTTCCATATATCCAGCAATGGAAATAAACCCCTTTTTTCCCATGCTGTATCACAACACCAGGGAACAGCACTGGAGTGTTCAGTGTCACAGAAGCACAATGGAAATCTTATAAGAGATGCAACCTTGTACATAATTTATCTGTATAAACATAATCCAAAGGACAAAGCCATTTTTACTGGAATACTAGATATCTACAATGCATGGCAATACCTGAAATGGTGATTAGAAAATTAATAAATTACCCCCGAAGATGAGGGGGGCAGATAAACGGTGTGATTTCCTCAGAAAGCCCCACGTACCTGGTCAGAGGGGGTGTACTCGTTCTGTTTGACTATGTCAATCTTGTCTAGAAAACTGCAAAGAAAAAAGAGAAACTCGTCACTCTCGAATCAGACAAACTTTCTGATGCTTTGATCACTGACAGCTCCCAGCTAAATCCCTGTGCATTTTAATGCTCCCGGGCTCACAGAACGACACAAAATCACACTCTGGAAAGGCAGAATTTGGGGTTTTGTTCCATTCCCAGCAGCAGCCGGCAGAGGGCTGAGAGCAGCTCTGGGAATCCATCTGGGAATCCACGGAGCCCCTCCCGCCTCCAGCAGCCCGGAGTTGAACTCGGGTCATTTCTTCACACGGATCCCGCAGGGGAACCTGCTGCCACGAACGGGGAAGCAGCGACTCCAGCAAACTGCCCGCGTGTACTTCCCCGGAAAGGAAAATGAGTATTTTTAAACAATGAGTAGTTTTAAACAACACAATCTGTAGTTCTTTAGATAAATGGAAGCCCTAAAGCAATTGAGAGGGGACGCTGATTTTTCTGTCAGCTGCTGTATCAGGGTTCAGTTGCTTTCTGGAGCAGCAGCAGGAGTTGGCTAAATGGGTAATAAGAAATATATTTCGTTCAAATTCTTTAGGCACTACCTACAGATGATACTCTGGAGCATTTACATTTTTTTTACCAATTAACTATAACCTCCTAATTATCTTTCACTTCAACTCAAAGAGCAAAAATCTCCAGGAATCAGTGAATTCTGCTTTGTTGTGGTGGCAAACCAGCAGCTCAGGATGCAGGTTTTGCGGTGTTTGCCCTCAGTCCCACTGCCCAGCTCCAGGTTCTCAGCCAGGTGCCCCCTTGCTCAGCCCCTTCCACTTCAGCAGTGCTTTGCCCCAACATTAATGATTAATCAGCCTTTAAACCAAGAGGCCTTGAGCTCCCTTGGAAATTCCTCTGCATGAACTGTTTTCCCTCTGAAGCAGAAATCACAAAGGAAAGGTGAGTTTTCCCTGCCTCTTTAACGTGCACTAAACACAGTCACAGCTCCAACAGGGGAAAAGGGAGCCCTGTCCCAGATTCACAAACCAAAAACCCAAAAATCTCCCACTAAAGCCACCACAAGACCCAGCCCCAGCTGACTTCCTAAAACACCTAATGAGGAGCACGGAAAGGGGGAAAAAAAATTCCTGTATTTTGACAACTGCTTCAGTGCAATGCCCTCTTCTAGATGATCTTGCTTCAGAGACACGTGAAAATTAATTTTTGTTTAGACTGAATGACAGAATTTTAAACATATTAAAATGTAGCTTAGTTAACACGCTACAGAAACACGTGAGACAAAGTGCAAAGATCAATTTCCATCATGGAACGTGGCATGGCCACAGACTCACAAGGATAAAGTGGTGACAAACTGTGCTCTGCAATTGGCAAGCTGGATTTTTTCCTCCTATCTTCCAAGCTGTTAAGTAATTTTTTCTTTTTTTTTTTTTTTTTTTAATCCGAAGGGAAGATATAAAACTCTCTGTTCAGTACACAGAGGATGTTAAATAAGTACAACAGCCCTGAGTTCCAAGTAGCACGAGTGTTTCCACCCCGTCCTCTCCCCTCAGAGCACAGTTTCAGAATCACGTGGCAATTTCACAAGTTGGAGGATGCTTGAAAAATGTTCCGAACAGAACATGTTCATCAAGATACAAAGGTGATTACTGCAATCACCCAGCCTTTCTGTATGAATTTATCCAAGCAGAACATTTTATGCTGGGTTCCACAAGAGGTGGGTTTTTGGTTTTGTTTTGGGCTTTTTTTTTTTTTTAATTTTATTTTTAAACACTCAGCTAATCAGCTTAATGGATTTTGGAAACTGAAAATTAGAAAATAACAACAAGATATTGCTAAAACCTGGAACTGAAAGTACAAACCTCTTACTGTTGTTTATGCAGACTATTTTTAGGCCTATGATTTCCTTGAAAAACATCAGCCACATAGGAGCAGTAGTACTGCACTGGAGATGAATTCCGACAGCAATGCTCATGCCAGGTGAAACAAGTTCCAATGGAATAAACATTTCTTCTTCCCCCCAAAACAAGCTCCAACATTCAGCAACATCTGCTACCCCTAACAATGCTCCCGGAGAAGGAAGCCTTCCACTGTGAGACAGGCACCAGAAAACCCCTCCTGCTTCCAGGGCATTTTAGGGAAAATGGAGCACAGTTCCATGAAGATTCCCCCTGTGCCTTTCATCAAAGTCTGCTCCAGCAGCTTTAGAAAGGGCTAAAGGCATTAAAAAGCAGTTTGATTTTTTGCTCACAAGTAAAGAAAGGGGATTGTTCTTTTGGTTGGTCAATGTAAAAATAAATGTGAGGAGAAAAGGGGAGAAGAAATTTGATCTGCTCTGATACACCTAAAATAAGGAGCAGCAGCGGGAGCATGAAAGCTCAGAAAACATCAATACACTGAGTTCAGAGACTTCTCAGTCAATGTTAGTCAAAACCAAACAATTTATCCAGTAAATTAAACTAATAATCCAGTCAGATGAGAACAAAGCCCAATTCAAAATAAACACAAATTCACCATCATTAATTTCTATTTTTAATTCTTGCTATGCTCTACCCAAAACATAAGTGAGGCCACTTGAGCACTACTTTGTGTGCTGAATTCACTGCTGTGAGAGATTGTTCTAAGCCTACTGGAGACGTGCCCACCATCTACTGTGTCAGCAGTGAACTTACAGGGAGAAACAGAAGTGACCTTGATGAAATAATTCACATAAAACTGTCAAATCACAAAATCAGATTTTATACTGCGAGCAAGCCTTGAACCAAGTTACAAACTTAGTGCTTTTTTGTTCTGTAAAATCTTCCCAGAGATTATATGGAAAAGCTATTTTCCAGAAAGCAAATAGATCATTCAGCATTGCTGCCAATTCTCACTTTGGGCCACATTTTGGACATGACTTAATAACAGGATCAGCTACTGCTCTGCAAAATTCTGTCACGTAGTAAGAGGCTCTTCTGCCTGTGTTATAAACATTGATACTGCTCTGACACACACTGACAAAAAAAACCTCAAAAGACTTCAGGTTATTTGTAGTCAGCAACACTGAGAGGAAGCATCTCCAGGACAGCACCAGTTGTGTCTCCGAGATATTAAAATAAAAGGTATTAACAAAAAATTAAAACAATCTGAAATAAAAAACATGCTGCATTTTTGTGTCCCCTTTTTTAGCTTAGGGAAGGAAAAACACACGTGAAGTGCTCCAAGCAGATCTTTGCGACAAATAAAGTGTCTTTAATTTCAAGGGCAGATTCACAGAGAGCTACACAGAGGCTCTCCTTAGCTCCAGCAGGTCTAAGTAATTAAGCCATACATGTATCCTCAATTCTTTCCAAGTTCTAATAAAACCTATTATGTCAAAACCACGTCCCAATTTTCAGATGAAGACATATGCCAGCACCTGAGTTATTCTGGAGTTCTCTCATCCAGAGAGAGCTGCTTTATCCCTACGGAGGGAATTTCCTGAATGAGCAGAGCTGCTGCCAGACGAAGACCTGCAGCTTGTTTTCCCTGCTGGAAAGGTGTGTGACACACGAAATCTCCCCCCTCGGCTCCAGCACAGCTCCTCTGGCTGGGGCAGCACGGGAGGGAACTCAGGCTTTTTTCCTCCAGCATTTCCTGACAGCCTTCTCAATAAACAGCAACTGAAATGTTATTCTCTCTCATCTGACAAAATGGTTGGCACACAGGAATTACTTTTTTTTTTCTGCTTTCTGAAGAAGAGCTTTTATTTTCAGCCTAGAACAACACTGGAAAGGTGTCTTCAAACTGACAACACACTGATATTTGAAGAGCTTTATTTCCATCAGGTTTTTTTTCTGGTCAAGTCATAACTTGAATTTCCATATAAAATGTCTCCCTTAAAAGGCACAATTAGATCTCATCTTCAGTATCAGAAAGATACTTCATGAAATCAAGACTTCAATCCCAACTAAAGACAACATTTGTTTGTAACTTATAAGCCTCAACAGTAGCACTGAAACTCTGCATTTGTGAAGTTCCTTGCCTCTGAAAGCCTCGAGGTATTTTACAGACAGTAAATCAGACTTCCAGCTCCTGCCTGCCTTCACTGAGGCTGCATTTCCTGCCTCCATCATCACACCCCAAAATGTGGAATAACCCTAATTTAAAGGCAGGCATACTGAGTAGTTAATTGCCCCAAGTCCCTTGAGTCAGTGGAAATGATTTTCCATTTTTCATTTCCACTGAGTCATGTGTTTCTACCAAGATATTACTAAGAACCCACCAGAATATTACTAAGAACTAGCAGAATTTTACTAAGAATTATGCTGGCATTTCCCCTGATCACCTCTAAAACAGTCTTTCCAATTCAGGTTTCTATGACCAGAAAGAAATTAATATTTTTATACTGATTACCCTAAAGACCAAACTGTGCAAATATCCAGCGGATTTTTATTTATCTACACCCTATCAGAACTACAAAGTACTACTTAAAGCAGTTTAAGCTGAAATTTAATTCAACATTAACAGTGTTTATTGTAAACAAGAGTGCATTTTTTATTTTTCAGAACAGACCATGCTTTACTTCTGCTTTCCTGCCTTTTTAGCCCTTGCCATAATCCTTTATGTTATTCAGCAAGGCTTTCTAAAAGCTCTGCAGTTAACTATCTGGTAAATTCTTTCTTCAGCTATGCTGTCTATGCTGAGCCAGGGACACAGGATGAGTACAAAGACAGAAAACTCCCTTTTAAAATGGCATTTGTGTGTGAACAAATTGACTGTCCCTCAACTCTGTCCCCTTCTGCTGCCCAAAGCAAGCAGGGAACAGGAGGGAATCCCATTCCTCAAACTGACGATGAAGATTTCAGCTGGTTTATTTTGCAAGAGGAGCAGAACAGCAGGAAGAGTTACAGGAATGATGCAAATAAAACAAGCAAACGTTCAATCTGCTGGCATTTATAGTGTCCTGCAAACTGGACAGCATGTGAAACCAAACTTGTCAGGTTTTTCCTCAAATTAAATTAAAAATCTAAGTTGGGACATCAGTAGATTCTGACTGTTTTTT